GCGGCAGACTCCGTGTCAACACAGCATGGATGAAGTGGCGTCAGGTCAGTGGAGTCTTATGCGACAAGAGAATGCCAATCTATCTTAAGTCGATCGTGTGCCCAGTGGCAGTCTACGGGTCAGAGTGCTGGCCAGCGAAGACCAAACACGAACAAGCCCTTCACACCACGGGTGTGAAGGGCTTGTGAAGGGTGAAGGGTGGGTGGTCCCATTTCACTTCAGGGCAACCTGCATGTGGCGAATAAAGCTTTGATTGATTGATTGATTGATTGCATCGCGGGATATAAACCGCTAGGAAGAAGGAGGTCTGGAAAACTTGGACCCTGTGTCCTCCAGACTAGAGAGGACACAGCTTGTTATTAGCTCTCAGATCAAAAGACTGCATGTCTCCTGATGATAAGGGTATGTTAATGAATAAAATTGCCAAAACTGCACCCTACACATCTGGAAAGGAACTGTCAATACTGAAAGGTATATACAGGTTTCAGAGAAACACATGCTGCCATCCAGGTCTCTTTTTGGGAAATGTCAGTTTTGGCCGGCAGTTATAGGTTACTTCCAATAATATGACGCGAGACTGGAATAAAATATATCCATGGACTGGCACTTGTTACTATCTAAATTAAAACCCTTCTTAACCATACTCCCCTAACCTGGCACACTGGTCTGCTCCAGGAGCTCTTAAGCAGGTAATTGAGCTGCTTTCAATCTTTTGCTCCACATCCTGCAAGAGGCTTAGGTTACTGACAAATAATTAAATGTAAGCAGCTCTAACTTTGACTCTTTTCTGACACAGGTAGGATGGCCAGTTCCCTTGTCTCTTCACCTTTACAAGCTGTCAATTTAATCCTACATTAAATAAACCTAATAAAGAATTCATAAGAACTAATGTGTGTTTTACTTTTTTTTTTAAAAATTCCCAATCAATTAATTACTAACAATGCAAATGAGGTGATGGAACCCCTGGTCTCCATTACAGGAAAGGTCTTGTATATTTCAACAACACAATGTTGCTGAAATATGCAAGAACCTGCAATAACACAGAGTCTAGATGCTGAACTCGTCTGCCTGCACTCCAGTCCCGTAACCACCTGAAAACATTTGGCCTATCGTGAAATGAAGAATAATGGGACAACATTACTCTCCCCAAAGTCCAAAAGCTGCTCTCCTCAGTTCACAGATGTTAACAGACTGTTGTTAAAAGAAGATGAGATGCTACAGACTGGTAAACATGGCCCTGTTCCTTTTTCCTCCTGTATTGTACATTTTCTCCATTTAAACATTTGATGTGTTTTCTATGATCTGGTGTGAATTTCAAATGGTTTTATGAGATTTGCAAATCATCTCATTTTATTTCTATTTAGATTTGACACAGCATCCCAACATTTCTTTTAATTTACCTACAAAGATAAGTGGAAAAGTGCTAAACAAGGACAAAAATGTGTTCTTTGAGCCCAGACTGTTAATAGAAATTGACATTTCTCAATAAAATCAGATTTTTTTTCATCATTAAGATTCCTCTTCAAACATCTTTTTTGGATTATTTAAATAGTCACAAACGCTCGGCTTCGCCTGGCCATGCTGAATACTTACACTTGCTATTGAATCCAATCAGCAATGTGAAAACAGGGCTTGGCATTGACTGGCTTACATATTCTTGGCAGAGGACTGGGGTGCGCTCTTGTGTATATGCTGCTGCCTTGTCTGGTTTGCTTCAATAAGAATATTAAAGGTGAAAGTGTTAGAGACTTTCAGAGGTACATCTCAGAGCTGAAACACTGTCAGAAGCATTGATCAAGGGTGTCAGCAGCCTGGAGATGAGATTCAGCCGTTTGTAATTTCACAAGGGAGAGGCAATACGTTATTACAAATGGCTGAACAAATCTCAAATTCAATATTTCTTGGTGGGGTTTTTTGTTAATATATTTCTGTTTCTTTATGCCTTTGGCCAAAACCTGTGGCATTTCAAATAAGATGTGGTATGTTGACGTATTCAGTCTCATCAAAGTTACGTAGAAAACCACCTGTCTTCTCCATCATCTATCACAGTGTGCGCTAGAATGTGCTGAATAAAAATTGAAAGCGGAGTAGAGAGGGGAAGCGGGTGTGTCTACATCCCATTTTTACAGCGTATCATTTTCAGCAGCAGCATGCCATTACCCAGCGTGTTTGGCCATCTTTGGGGCAGAGAGGTACACCTGGTAAATGTTGAATGTGAAATTAGAATCCAGTCATCAACCTCTGCCATAAACATTTTATTTCTCCCCTGCACCCACACATCCCGCTATCATTTGATGTACGCTGCGTTGCCTGCAGGGTTGCTGTGTGCTCGTAAACATGCCTCTCTTTGCTATGCTTCCACGGTTCAAGAGAAGGCTGCAAGGTGTGGCTATAAATCTTTGATAGTTCTGTTGAAAAGTCGACCTTGACTGTCATCAGTCGCTCTGTCAGTCTTGCCCAGATTGACCTCTTAGCCTGCTCAGTGGTGTGTGGATAAGAGAGAAAGCGATGCTCGACTCGGAGTCCCGATGGTTTCACATTTCTACGCAGTGTGTAAAAACTCATTAGCTGATTATTCTGTTGGTTCACTGACAGAAAATTACAATTAGGCCTGAAAGTAGTGATTATTGTGATTATCATGCAATCAAGTGATTAATTGTCTTGTTGATAAAATGTCATAAAATGTAAATCTGATTTTCTGGCAGCTTTTTTGTTTGTCAGTCATGGTCAAATACCAGAACTGAACCGGTTCACTGAAGAACGGTGAGAAGCATAAGAAAAAAAAACAGGAAGAAAATGATGTAGTCTTTGACCATGTAGGTCACAGGTGTCGAACTCCAGGCCTCAAGGGCCGGTGTCCTGCAGGTTTTAGGTGTGTCCTTAATCCAACACAGCTGATTTAAATGGCTAAATGACCTCCTCAACATGTCTTGTATTTCTCCAGAGGCCTGGTAATGAACTAATCATTTGATTCAGGTGTGTTGACCCAGGGTGAGATCTAAAACCTGCAGGACACCGGCCCTCGAGGCCTGGAGTTCGACACCCCTGATGTAGGTAATCAAGAAATAGAGCTAAATGATGATTTTAGTTAATCAAAGCTTACCATTTTCCTTTTTCCTGATATTCATAAATTTTATATACAAGATTAAGTTGATCAGACAGACTAACAGTCATATTCCTCTAAGCACTGCCCAGCCCATATAGGGTTTTTCATTACCAATATTTGTGATTTAAACATATGTTGGACAATTTCTTTTTTTCAGACACATGAAGGATAAACAGGTTAACATTTGTTATGTGCTTTTATTTATGAGTCAGTAGTTATTGATATAATATAACAATACATGTTAAAATGATCTCATTTATCACAAAAAATATTTTTTGTATACAGCTGCTTGTTCTGTTGAGATCAGCTGCTTGTTGTTTGTCCTGTTCCAAACACTTGCTGCCAACAGGAAATCTGCAGGGTCCCTCTGGTGGACAAACAATGAAACATCAACACTCAAAACATGGTTTAAGGGTGTTTCTTTCAAGGTTGGCTGTGTGGCAGAAATTAGTTGGACCCAAAATGACTCGGAAAAATGAGGAATAAACTGAAAACAGCTTTACAAAATGCAACAAACACAGAGAAGGCAAGGCCGAGGAACTTACCTGGCACTATGGAAGAAACAGAAGCACAGCATAAAGGACAACACAACAAAGAGCAGAAGCAAAAATGACCATAGCGCACACGAGATCGGAGAATGTCAAAATAAAATAGGAACCAAACAAACAGAACACAACCCCCCCCCCCCCCCCCCCAAAACAAAAAACAAAAAACGCAGACTTAACACAAAGACAAGACTATACAGGACAAGACATAAAAAGACACCATCATCATCATCATCTGAAGAGCATAGAAATGGCTACAATTTTAAATAAAATTCTTGGTTTGATCAACGAGTATGAGTCTGTAAAATATGAACAACAGATACATAAATAACTTCTTAATAACAGTCTGAGGAGGAAATCTTGTACAGCAATGGTTCCCCTTTCTAGTGTTCATCTGAAAAAGTAATCTATCACTCAGCTGGCCTTAAATTTACACGGCCGTCTCAGTGAAACGTCAGTGTTCATCACACTTTTCTTTATTACCACCCACAGGGTCTGACCAAAGAGCTCTGTGAAGCAACCGCTGTATTGCCATTGTTTCTAATTGACAAAACCCTGGTGAATGGATTATGTAATGGGCTCTATGTGAGTCTCTGTCTTGGTTATGGATTTAGCCTAATGATGCCCCTTTACTCCAAAAGAGGGATTATTCTGAAGAGAACAGTAGAGCCATGGCCGTATAGATGAAGGAAGTGTCTCAGATCACACACGTCTGATCCAGAAAATCCCACTAGAGAGAGAGAGCATGCAAACAAGCTTGTCGAGACACTCGGGAGATTCTTGACCTACATGAGAGGAGTAGAAAAAACGTTTGTAATGTTTTCATGTGGTATGAATTTTCAACATTTGTTTTAAACTTCTTTTGCAGCCGTCCAGTCTCTGAACAGCCTGAATGACCAGATTGCTCAGTTCATGGTCACTCGACCTTGTAGCCTGACTGATGAGGATGAGGCCTTCATGCCGGGAGAGAGGGATACCTTGAGGAAGTCTATGACTCTGATGAGACACTTGCTCATGGATGCTCAGGTACAATTTCCTTCTTCTCTTAAAGTCAAACACATCCTTAGTGGACACCTGTCCGATCAAAGTCCTCAAAAGAAACTACAATTATCCTTCAGTGCTGTGGAAAGATAACACTGCTGGGACAGATAACTGGTTACAGGTAACAATGAGTCACTTTTCTTTTCACAAACCAAAACAGTCTCATGCGGACGTTTACCTGCTCAGTGTGGTGAGGTTCAGCAGGATTTCAGGTTCCACAGGGCAGACAGATGAATGGCTGAATGAATAAAGTTTTTATTATTGTCATACCCATAGATACACTTTGCGAGGTCTGAGGAATGTGTCCAGCATACTGTTAACTCTATGCTATGAAGATTTAGGGTGGTTTTGATGGTAAAAGGAGGTACAGCCTGGTATCAGCAAGGTGTACCATATCAAAGTGGCCGGGGTCAGAATATTAATATCCATAAAACATTGGCAATAGAATTTCCTTCATAATAACAGAAAACTAAGCATCAAAATTAAGCACCCTTTCCAATTTTTATTATGTGTTCACCAGAACGATTTCAGGGTGTTGCTGAGCTATTTTTCAGAAATTAACATTCTTAAAATATCATAGTTTGTGGAAGAAAATTAAATATTTTTTCTGTATCTATACAGAACCGCTCTCATACTCTAAACTACTCCTGTATAATCCTTACCTTTTCAAACATGTGACCTCAAAAACAAAGTTTCAAGGAAACTGTCAACAGGACATTCTTGTCATGTCGAGTGCTGTGTGGCAGCCAAGATGAAGGACCCAAACGCAGGACTCAGAAACTGAAAGTTACACTTAAAGCACAGCTTTATTGCTGGGGAAAACTCTTTATAGGAAATAGACTTTCATAAAAACAAAACAAAACCTCAATCGCAAAACTCAAAACTAAACTGGGCACTGGAACCTAGAGACTAAGAAACTCGAGCAAAGAAACAAACCAGGACTGGGAGCTAGAATATTCTCAGGAACACGAGAGGAGAAAACACATTACAAAGAGGGTGTACAACTCGACAACAAGCAGGGGAAGACTGAGAACTATAATACACAGGCAGGAATATGAGCAGACGGGGAACAGGTCGAAACACAGCTGGGACAAATCAGACATAATGAGACGAGGGCAGGCAAAACTAGATACACTGACGTTGGATAAGGACTATCAAAATAAAACAGGAAACAAACAGACTGAAACTCAGACTCAGGACATACAAGCATAACACAGCAACTGGGGAGACCTGGGGAACAAGGGTGAGTAGACACGAAACGTGGGATACAGGAAAAGAATAGAGTGGACATAGGAACAGAGATTAAACACAGGCTAAGGTAACTACTAAGGGAGGAAAGACTACAATCACTAGGAACTACAGAAAACCAAAACTATGAACAACAATAGTCAAATAATATAATTACAGAGTCAGAAGCACCAATACTTGGTCACGTGACAATTGTTAAAGTTATGATGTCAGAACCTTTAATGCCTTTCAGCTTCTTGTAGAAGTTTTATTATTTTTTAAATCTAGGCAGAGAATTCTAGTATTAACCTTTCAAGGATTTATCATTAGTTTTATATATAGAAATTAAACATTCATGACCTCTCTGTTTAAAAATTTTTTTTTTTCAAAGATTTTACCTTAGTTTGCAGGTTTAGATTAATATTTTTTTTCCTCTCACTCTTTCATACCTGCATACGTTCTCGTCAAAAAGAAACGCGCCTCTGTTTCCGACATGTTAGTGTGAAATCCGTTCAGGGTGACTGCAGAGCCTTTTCATCCTCGCCCTTGCCCTTAGCACAACCAGGCCGAAGCTGTGAAAACTTTGCCAACCTCAGCAATGCTGTGAACAATGTACAGTCGAACCAGGGAGTGTTTTTTTCTTCTTAATCCTCTTTTTTGGCTTTTTCTTCTTTAGAGTTGCACTAAGTCTTTAGGCTAAAGCGAAATATGCGATGTGGCATAATTTCCTTTTAAAAGTTTCATCCTCTCTCTGCTCCGCTTCAGAGATAATTCATCCATACGATGCTGCTTCCATTCAGCCTTTTATTTATATACTTTTTACATTCTGATAAATCTTGACACAGTGATGGATTTGTGTTATCTATTAGTGCCACTGCAGGATGGATAAGGAGTCCCCCTGCCATTCTCCTGGAGACATACATACATAGTGTCATTGATTAAATGGAAGGTAATTCACTAAAAAGCCATTGCTTTCGCCTCAGCTCGGTGGTATGCAAGCTGGAGTGAAAGATTGTTAGCCTGCAGTCTGTTCTTTTTTTAAACTCATGAATATAGCACTGGGGGGTGATGGATGAGTAGGAAACTCACCTGTGGATGGAGTACCGATTATCTCTCCAAGAAGTTGTACTTGGAAAAAAAAAGTTTGCCGGTAGTTCAATGTTAAGTGGGGCACTCAGACACCAGTCATCATGACAGATTTCTCTGCCTTTTGGCCTTGTTAGTCAGACGCTACACCCACAGCCTTTACATGTTCCCTGTTTTTTTTTTTTTTTTTTTTCTTCAGTGGAGTGTCAAATGGAGGCCCCTGTCAGCTGGAGGCCCCTGTCAGCTGGAGGCCTGTTACTCTAAACTGTCAAGAGGACAAAAAAATATCACCAGGGGGATGCTGGCAGTTGCTACGGCTGTATGTTTGTTTATTTAAAGGTTAGAGCTCGAGCCATACCTCGAAATAGATATTATATACTCACTATGTTTTATTTCAAAATATTCTGTCAAATGACAATTCTACTCCACAATGCAAGACCCCTAAAAAGTATCGAGAAGATGCTGACAGCTGAAAAAATGTGACTGCTGGGTGACACAGCTCCAGAAAAAGAATGAAAAAACAGACCAAAAAGATGACACAGACAACTCAAATCTTAGGAAAAACACATTGTTGCATTGTTGTCTGTTTGTGGTAAAATATAGTGTTACAGTACACTAGGCAGCATTAATAGATTTATGCGTCTCTGTTGAGGCTTGAGAAATATCTGGATTTGAAGCTGATGAAGCTCAACAACTCGTACTTTTTCTAAAGCACCTTTTTGTTAATTAGGAGGGAAAAAAACATTTCAGTGGCAGAGACACTCTGTCATAGCTCTGCTTCACCAGTTAATGCAACAAATGTGTTTCAGCAGTTGCCACACATCCATTTTCTTAACCACACATCCTGTTCACAGTCGCTGGGGAGTTGTAGCCTGTCGTAGCTGTCATAGGGCATGATCACCAGTCTGTCATATAGAGCCAACACAGAGAGACATGCAGCCATTCATTCTCACTTTTGAACCTTTGGCTAATTTACCAGTTAATCTAAACAAGCATGTCTTTGGACTGTGTGAGGAAATCAGAGTGTCAGGATACAACATGCAAAATTCAACACAAGTGCAGCTGTAGCTAATTAAAGATAAAGGCTACCAAGTCCAAACGTTTTGTAAATTAGTCTTGAGCCACCTCCCATTTCTTTATATTTAACTAGGAAAATGGAAAATACGTGCAGCAATACTTACAAACATCCATAGAAATACAGTATATAAAGCACAATTCTAACAAACTTGAAAAATCAATATTTGATGTGACCTCCTTTTTTTTCTTTCACACAGCCTGATCTCACTTAAGCCGCTTTCTTCTAATTTCTTTTAGTCTTCAGTAATAGTTCTCCTGCCTGCTTGAAGGCTCTTCTTTGGATGTTGGCCGCCTTTTCTTTTGTTCTCTGTCAAGACAATCCCAAGATGTCAGATCTTTGCTGGATTATCAGTTTCTCGAGGACATGACTTTCATAAGCTTTTCATCAGCTGTAGGTTTTTTCTTAGGCCTGCTACTCCTTCTCTCCTTCCCTTGTCTTATTTCCTCTTCCTCCTCCTCTAGATTTTTTTAAGGACACAATGCACAGCATGCTAAATATATGCCAATATTTCAGGTAATAGGTGTTGCAAAAATGCTGTTTTATACCTGTGAAAACATGTTATCTTTGGCTTTATTCATGGATCCAACGCTGGAGTGCCTTGAGTGATTCAGAGGTCACTGTTAATGTGGCTTAGCAAACAGTTTCACCCACTAAAAAGTAATAAAACTACTTGTATTACTATGCAAATATAAATCCAGTTGAGCTACAAGCAATCTACTGCAAAATGCAGTTAACCTTGTCTTGTCTAATTCTCTGCAGTTCTCCCAAAATTGTTCCTTCAACCACTGGATCTGATAATGAATTCAGGCTATCCAGCCCCGGTTTCTGTATTTAATGTACTTGATCCGAGCAGCAGGACTGAGTTTGGAGTCTCTCTGTTATCACTCGGGTTACAATTTATGTACAAAATAATATTGGCCAAATTATGCATCACATTTCTTTGTTCTCTGAGCCTCAGAGGTCAGAGTCAAGTGTGATCTCATCCCATGTAGAAAAGCTCTGCTCATCAAGAGGAGTTTACATTCATGGAGCACAGTCTTTCCACTTTCAGACTGAATATGAAATTAGTCCAGCCTATCTCTTTTAACGTCTGGTCTCATGTGTTTTAAGTGCCTGCTGCTGAGTTCAGGCAGGCCCGCGTGCTCTAATGTCCAGTATTTAGTGCTGCCAGTGTTCTGCAGAGACTTTACTGTTGAACTGGAAGAATAAAGGACTCTCCAAGGCTTACTGTCAGTCACGAAACCTTGACGTTTTCTGTTTTATGCAGATCTTCATGTTTTCTGACACCAAATGGTTTCGTTTGTCTGGGAAAGTTGGGCTGAAAATTCAACATTAAGATTTCAAGTCAACGGCCACTAAAAGGCAGAAAATTAATTTAGAGGGGATTTGAATAGTTTCTCTTTGAATGCTGTCCCAGAATTGATTGCCTCATTTGTCATTTGCACAGATGAATTATTTATGTTCTCGTTGCTGTGCTGGGGTGACTAATCAAATGCATTTCAATGGGTGTGGAAGCTGCGAATTGATGTCGTGGAACATTGCACTGCATTAGGTGCTTTGGTAGAGGAGTCAGCAGGGCAACAATAGTGGCCTG